CCTCTCTATCACCAATGGTTGCCACCACCCCCCATCACCACCCCTTCCTCTGCCCTCTGGCACCAGCCTCACTGGCCCCACCCCTGCCAACTGGTCCTTCCCCTGTTCAGTCGATTTGCATATTAAGCTTTTATATATAGGACTCATTTCAACTACTAAATACACCATACACTCTTGTTACTAAACAGATTATTCACTTTAACCTCACTGTGTGTGGGGGGGGGGGGGAGGGAGGAGAGAGAGAGAGAGAGAATGAGAGAGAATGAGAGAGAATGAGAGAGAGAGAGAGAGAGAGAGAGAGAGAGAGAGAGAGAGAATGTAATAAATGTTCAACTTAAATTATTTGAGCTCAGATGAACCTGCTGAGAGAATTCATTCAGGGTAGGAATAAAGGGACAGTTGCTGATGACAGGTTGTCTATAGATGCCTAAGGTACAGTATCTGCCACGGAAATAATTTAAAATCAAATGAGTTCAGTGATACTAAGATTAGTGGTTGTGGATTGGTGATTCTCAACTCTGGCTAGACATTAGAATCACCTAGAGCAGTGGTCGGCAAACTCATTAGTCAGCAGAGCCAAATTTGAACAGAACAACGATTGAAATTTCGTTTGAAAGACAAATTTTTAAAACTTCAACTTCTTCTAACGCCACTTCTTCAAAATAGACTCGCCCAGGCCGTGGTATTTTGTGGAAGAGCCACACTCAAGGGGCCAAAGAGCTGCCTGAGGCTCGCAAGTGCAGTTTGGCGACCACTGACCTAGAGTGCCTTAAAAATACTTACATCCAGGCTCCACTCCAAGCCCAGTGCATGAGAATCTTGGAGAAAGGAACTCAGGCATTTGTATTGTTTTAAATGTGAAATGTTAAAGTTAGAGGTGACTAGTAATCAGCCGGAGTTGAGCCCCAGCAGGATATGGGCTTAATCACCCCTTCACCTGGGACATATAATTTTGATGATAAATTAAACTAATTACTCAATGGCCCCCATCTTGACTATTTAAGAAGACACTCTCCTCTCCACTAACTACTTAACTTAATTGGATTTAGAGCCTGGAATGTTGATAAATTACCAGAATCCAAAAACAAGTGATCCTATAATTCTCCCCCATTAGTCAAATCACCTCCCCAGTGGAGTTTCTCAAATAGGAGAGTGTGGAGAAGCAGCAGAAACCTCAAAGTGGCAGATTTCAAATTAACACCTTCCTCAGTTTCTTCAGCATCCTACCTACCTCCTGCCTTATCTGGTGCTGACTCAGCTGGTTCCTCACATTCCACAAATACCAGTCTTATGTGTTTCTTCTCAGCAACAGATACTTCTCTGATGTTGCCCACAAAACCCAGAATGCCCTCCGTGGCCTTCACTTACCCTCCAAACTTTAGAAACCCCGAATCTACCCTCAATCGTGAAATCTGACTTTCTCCCATCTAAATTATTCAGGGACCCGAAAGAAACCAACTTAGCTTACATTGGGTTCCCACCAAATTTCTTTCCTGAACAGCACTCTCTACCTCGATGAGATCTAGCCCATTTTTCCATCTGTCATTAGACTGAGGGGCATTTTTCACACTTCGTTTGCAGATCCAGAAATATTTGTCTCAGAAATGAGACTCCCCCTTTATAAACAGATAGATCCCCACAGTAAAAGATAATCAAGAGGACACACTGTGGATGTCCTGTCTCTCCGCAAGAAACAAAATTGCTTTGTCATTATGTTGTTGTAGCAGTTTGTAGATGGAACTGTCTTTTTAAAATAAACAAGGTGGGAAATTCCAGCACCTAATAACCTACTGGGCTGTGTAGTGAGTGAAGGTGTAAGGACCTGGAAAGCCAGTTCCTGAGGTCCAATTCTAATTCTACAATGTGCAAGTCACATCTCTGCTACTGAGGTGTGACTTTTCTCCCCATCTGTAGAATGGGAATAATAGTACCTACCCTCGGGGAGTAAGTCATTTAATACATGTCAAGCCCCTAGGACAATGCCTGCACAGAGTAAGCATGAGTCAGGTTAGTTATTATTATTACATGCAGGGTGTAAAATCTTGTCATCCAGGGAAGTAAGCCTTTTAAATCATTTTCACGCTCGGAGACCGGTTTGGCTCAGTGGATAGAGCATCAGCCTGCAGACTGAAAGGTCCCAGGTTCGATTCTGGTCAAGGGCATGTACCTTGGTTGCCAGCGCATCCCTAGTGGGGGGTGTGCAGGAGGCAGTTGATCGATGTTTCTAACTCTCTATCCCTCTCTCTTCCTCTCTGTAAAAAATCAATAAAATATATTTTTAAAATAATAATAATAATAATAATAATAAAATCATTTTCACTCTTTTAATTCATTTTCACTGGGTTTTAAAAATGAACTTATAACAAATTGTTTTCCAAACTGAATTTTGATATTTCTGATCTTTTCCCATTATTTTCTGAGTTCAATGGATGAGAGCATGGAATTTGTCTGAGTATTTCTTGACATTTTAGTTTCATTAGGAATCTCTCTTTATACTAGTTAAGCCTTATTATGATTACAATATCATTTAAAATGGAATTATGAGAGAGAAATATTTGGGGAGGAGGGAAGAATATCACTTGCCACTTATTAAATTGAGATTTTAAAAACCAAAAAAAGAAAAAAAAAGAGGGAGGGAGGATTTATAAGCTGCAGGTGACCTTTAAATGCCATGTTCACTAATACATAAACAGAAACAGAAAATTTAATGTCTGGTAATAAAGTAAACTGGATCAATACAATTACATTATGGATTTTGTGATATTATAAATTATGTTTCAGTCCAGAATATCAATAACTTTTTAACATCTTTTAAGATCAAATTATAATACATTAAAATATCACCTAGTTAGTTTCCTACATGCTATTTATAAGCTTGTATCTTACTTCTATTACCTAGGCAGCTTCATGTACTAAACTTCTAAAGATATATAATTTTAGGGCATAAATTATTTTAATAAAGAGTTAAAAATGAAAATAATTCATCATCTCAGTAAGACAATCCTTCAGTAAAATTTACTTTAATAATTAACCTAGAATAATGTTGTTACTATTAACCTTAGCTTACTTTCAGAAGTTAGGGAATATGACTTCAGCCAAAACCGTTTGAGCGTCAGCCTGTGGACTGAAGGGTCCCAGGTTTGATTCCAGTTTGGTTGCAGGCACATCCCCAGTAAGAGGTGTGTAGGAAGCAGCTGATCCGCGTTTCTCTCTCATCAATGTCTCTAACTCTCAATCTCTTTCCTTTCCTCTCTGTAAAAAAAAATCAATACAATATATATAAGAGAAATATGACTTCAAAGACAATTGGTTACATGTGTACATCTCAGTTTAACTGAATTACACAATGTAAACAGCACAAGCTATTGTAATAATGTAATTACGATATATTAAAGTGGATACTCGTAGTTTTATAGGCCACTTTGATTCTTTACCCTGCTCTACCCCAATGTTATTAGTAAAGAGTTCAGCTTTGGGTATTTTATTTAATATATTTACAGACCCTCTCCCTCTACAATTCTCAAGCCCTTCATTGTCCAAGGCAACGTAAACATGTATTTATCCAGAGTAGAATTTATTTTCCCTGAATGATAATTTTTAGCGGGGGCACAGAAGGTACGGAGATTTTTCTTAACTGCCCAAACTGTATCTTTGAAGAAACAAAACCATCTTTATGCCTTGGCTAACCTGTAAGCCATTACAGGAAATCACATCTTCCCATCATTACACCGGTCAACACACCACTTCTATAGTTCTCACAGCCTGAGAACAAACAATAAAAGAACAATTGGCCTCGAAAGGAAGAGTTTATGACTTAGCCTGTTTCAGGAGGGTGCCATGCCTTCTCCATTGATGAAGACACAGAAAGTAGCCCCGTATGTTACCCAAGCGCCTCACAGGGGTCCTAGCGGCCAGCTAAGTCTTGTGAACATGCTTAGAAACACTGCCTGAGCTTCCCTTGATGTTTACTTGTTTCTGAGTTCTGGGACAGAGTTAGGGACAGTCTTGGACCTCATTTCAATAATCACCCACGATGTGACACAGACCACACGCGTACTCAATGTTCGTGAAATGTGTGGCATTAAAAGATAAACACTTGACACGTAGGCTGACTGGTGTAAGCCAGTGGTCGGCAAACCGAGGCTCCTGAGCCACATGCGGCTCTTTGGCCCCTTGAGTGTGGCTCTTCCTCAAAATCCCACGTGTGGACTCGCCACGTCCAGTGCGACTGAAAAACTTCGTGGCCCGTGCGCAGAAGTCGGTTTTCGACTCTCAAAAGAAATTTCAGTCGTTGTCCTGTTGATATTGGGCTCTGTTGACGAATGAGTCTGCAGACCACTGGTGTAAGCAAACAGCATCCTTCCACCTAAGTTCCTGCCCAGCCTCTTAGGGAGGACAGCTGGCTGGAGAGGTTGAAATTCCAAGGGCCAAGTCAGTTACAACTTCCCAGCATGTCACTTGCGCCAGGCAGCTTTCACATCCCAAGGAGGCCCAGCGGGGTGGGCCTTGGGGGGTCAAACCCTACACCGGAGGCCAGCAGCACCTTCCAGGCTTCCGTGGAAAGCTTTCCCTGCAACCACTTACAAAGAGCGCTTCTCACACTGGGGTCCTGCCAATCCATCACCTGCGAACTTGACTAAAAGAGGAGTCCGGGGCAGTGAGCTTGGATCAGAGCTCGAGATCCTGCATTGCCAACCGCCCCCCGCCCTCTCCAAGAGACCCCCACACTGCGGTTCGGTTCCTCCCACCGCACCCCTTGGAGATGGAAGGCCCACACACTCCCAGAGACACCCAGGTCGCTTCCATCGGCAACACCCAAAAGTTGCGGCCACAGGTTGTGAGAAATCAAAGTGCCCGGGCGCTGCGAGGCCTCTGAGCGTGGCCGGCCCGGCCTGCGGTCCTCGGGGCGCCCGGCCTCCCCCCCCCCCCATGCGCTCCCGGGAGCCCCCCGCGGCGGCCGCGCCCCGCCCCGCCCCGCGCCCCCGGCGGCGCAGCCTCACCTTCTCCCGGGTCTTCAGGTAGCGCTGCAGCGCCTGCTGCGTGAGCTCCCGCACGCGCAGCTGGCCCTCCTTGCAGGGCACCACGATGCCGGTCCTGCCGAAGCACACGGTCACTTTCATCCTGGCCCCGCGGGCGGCCCGCCGGGCCTGCGAACAGGTGTCTGGCCCGGCGGGGCAGCCCCTCTCGGGGGACGCGCGGCACCCGCGGGCCCGGGGGTCCCTCCCCGGCGCCCCCGCAGGGCCCGGGGCTCGCAGCAGCGCCCTCGGCCCCGGGGCAGGCGGGCGGGCTCCGGGGGGCAGGGATCGGGGATCGGGGCAGGGGAGGCGGCGGGAAGGTAGGGCTGCCTCCCAGGTGGCGGGGCCGGGGCGCGCGGGGCTCCTCCTCCCGGTCCGGCTCCCGCTGGGGCCCGGCCGCGGCGGCTGCTCCGCGCGCCAAAGCGAAACTGCCGTCCGGCACGGCCCGGCCTGGCCTGGCCCTGGCGGCGGGGCGGCCCAGGCCCTAGCGGAGTGGGCGGCGGCGGCGGGGCCGGAGTTGGGAGGAAACTTTTGCGCCGGGTCCCAACTCTGTCCGCGGCGGCGCGGCGCGCTGGGCTCCCGCGGCCCCGGGGCGGCTGGGCCCGGCTCTTAAAGGGGCCGCGGCGCTGCCGGCTCCGCCGCTCCCCCGGCGGCGCGGGGCGGGGAACGCGCGGCAGGCAGGTAACTGGAGCCCCTGGAGCCCGGTCCCCTCACTCGGTCTCTCCTGGGCCCCGTTCCCCCAGCGCACACGGAGCTCTGGGGAATTGTAACGGGACCCGGGAGCTACCCACTGGGGAATGGAAACCGGATCCCATAAAGCACACTTGAGGGACTCGCTGGGAGTCTGCGGAGCTGGTACACCCTTAAATGCGGGGATTGGAGCAAGATTCGAGGCGGGCGCGGGAGCAGGTGCTTTGCGCCACGCCCACCACACACCCCAAGGGCAGGCCTCTCGCAGGTATTGGGCTGCAGCAGAGGCTGGGGGGCCTGCTTGGAGCTTGTCTTCAGCCAGCATCGCATCTGCCCTCTGGAGCCCGGAGATGGCAAAAGGTAAGGGATTCTTGGGGGTAACGTGCAGTGGAACCATTCCTTTTACAGAGGAAGACAGTGTTCCCACAAAAGTTGCACCCCAGGCCCAGATATGATTGTGTTATGCTTGCATAGATTCTTCCGAAATGTGCCTCCTGTTGTGCATTTGGAGGGAAAAACGGTTTTTAAAATGTTTAGATTCATGATTTGGCAGGTGTGGATCCATCACCAATTGAGATATGCTTATGGGGAAAGGGGGTAGGGAATTCAGCAAATACCACGTGCATCATTTGTAACTCCCAAGTCAAATGAGCTCCTTTAAGCCTAACATCAACCCTGTAACGTGAATCTTTTCCCATTCTGTGAATGAAGAGTGGAGTTCATTGAGGGTAAGGGACTGAGCTGACCATGGAGTCAGTTATGCTGAAAGGAAATCATTTCTCCCGAAGCTGAGTCTATGGTCTCCCCAATCAGTTCTCTCAACAAACCAGTCCATCCAGTGCTGATCCTCAGGCTACATCATGTGTTTCTCTATAAAAGGGTTTGTTTCTATGTCAGGACACTTACATTGAACTTGAATTGCCAAGGACAGTATGACAATGTGTAGATTAAGTTAGTGGGCTCATGTGTTTTGAGAGTTTTAATTTTTTAACTCATTTATACATGCAATAAATATATATATTGGTTGTCCTAAAGATATGCAGGGCCTTATAGGCAGTCATTGGCCTCAAAGAGGATCATGCAGATCAAGTTGATTTTAAGAAAATATATTAGTCTAATTTGTTAGCAAATACAAAGCTAACTACTTTAAATAAACTAACGACAGAATGTATTTCCTTCTAAAATCAGGAGTTCCAGGAGCACTCTTTTGAGGCAAGATTGAAACCTAAAACCAACATCCTCAGAGGCCTCCTCTCTCCCCCTGTTAGCTCTGAGCGTCTTGGTGTGGTTTTCATGCTCAGGCAGGGTCTCCCAAAGGAGACAAAGATGCCCAGCCTTAGAGCCAGCCATCCCAGGCGTCACTAACCCTTTCTGGGTGAGGACAGATCCAAGGTAGAGTCCACACCCTCCCTCTGGCGAGATGAAGGCAACAGTGATGGGCCAGACCAGGCTCACCCGCCATTAAATCATATCGACCTGAGAAAAGGGGAAAGAGGAAACCCTCAACAAATGGCAAGACAGAAAACAAGTAGCCACCAGGAAATATGACCGCTTCCCAACTGTCAAGGAGCTCCTAGATAGGAGGGGAGACGAGGCCTACAGATGAAAGAAGTTAAGTAGAAACTGTGAAACAACAGTGAATTTGATAACTATTGAACACTATAGATTTAGATTTAGATATCTGCCAGGCACTGTTTTCAGTGAATATAAAATATATATGTGTGTGTGTGTGTGTGTGTGTGTGTGTGTGTGTATCATGTGTCTGTGGTTTTCCTTTACAATGATCTTACAAGAGAGAGAATTTAATATTCCTTTTAGGCATGAGGAGCTAAAGCCAAGGGGGGTTAAGATCACACTCTTAGAAAGTAGCAGAGGCTGCATTAGAACCCAGGCCTGAGACAGAGTCTTCAGGAACTGCTCTGCTGATTTTACACAGGAAATACCGAGTGAGTAGAGCAAATGAAGGAATAAATAAGTGCTAATGCGGTGTATTCATGTATAGCCCCCTTACTTTCAATATCAAATGTTATTAGGACATATAAAATTATATGGAGCAAATTTTTAGCTGACGAAATAACTTTGTATGTTGCCATTCTACATGCTTCATGGCTTTTCAATTGCTTCGGAATCCTCCTCTTCTGCTCAGGTCATGAATAGCTCCTGCTCTTCTTCATTCCACAAACTTCCTCTTGGTCCAGCCTCAGCCCCTCACCGATAGCTGTAGCCCTGACTTAGAGAATGTCCCGGCTTTGAGAAGCTCTGGGTGAACCGTGAAGGATACACAGACTCTGCAGATTCCATTCTCAGAAGGACTGAAAATGGGTGTTGTGAGATACAAGCAGAGGTTGTGAGATTCTGAGATGAATGAAGAGATGAAGCCAGGCATGGATATAAACAATGCATTGCGCAATCCTGCAAGCCATGAAGTGAAATTTTTAATGACCCCCAAGTTAGTAATTATAAAAAAGAGTTTAGTGTTTACATTTCATGTTTATTAACTAGCCACATTTAATTTCTTCTTCAGCCTTATCACAGCATGAATAGAAACATTTTATCATATATTAAGAAGTTATGTAAAAGAACATAGTTGCAACACAAAGACATTCATGCCCAGCAAATTCCTAAATCAATATTTCATGTCCCATGGGGCCTCCTGGGCAGAAGACAATTAATAATTTGCCTTGATTGAGTCACACGAGAAGATTCTAGGCCTGGGTTCCATTTTCTTGTTTTGCCGTTGGATGGGTAAATATTGCCTGTGGTGTGATATTTTCCCATTTCTTATCCAACAGTTTAGCAAGCTTTGGAGTAGCCAGTGAAAATGTGTTATGCAGAGACCAATAACACTGGCCAATATTATTAGATAGCTCTAATAATAAAATATAAAAATTCTAACTAAATTGTCAGGTGCTGTTCGGTATATAGTGGATGAAGTTGGTAATTCTTACTATATAATCAACCAGTCATTCATTCTGATGACTTGCACTATTAAGACAGAAAAGTAGTTTTACTCTTCAATGAATTATTTATAACAAACATTATTTATCACAAAATTAATTGATTTGGAGATAATCTTTCTAAGACCCTTGGAGCAATTAGTACAATAGATTATGTTCTTAGCTTTCTTATGAAAATAGGTGCCAGAGTGATATCATAAGAAAGAGAAAAATGAGTATAATTTTTTAAATTCTTTCCTTCCATTTCCAAAGCAAAGGATTTGGCAAGAATGAGTTTTTCTTGAGACATCTGTCTCTAAATGCCTGATGGCAATCATTTTTTGACTATTTCTGTAGCTTAGCTAAGGCACCAATAACAATGCTTTACATCCTGAAGAGGGTACTGTGGATCATCAACCTTTTAAAAGGTCCTTATTCACACCTGCTTTATAGATAAGACTCACAGCTCTCCATAATGATTCAGCTAGACTTCCTTCTACTGGATTCTACTCGATGAATTTTAATGTCCTACCTTGATTATGTTTCTTGAAAAGGACTTGAATTATGAACTGAGTGTCTCTTAAAAAAATAAAAATAAACAAACCAACTATAAGCAATGATGTTGCAGTAAGAGCTGATCAACAGCTGGATGCTTTTTCCTCATTGTGTGATCTCCTTCTCTGAAGCACATGAGGCCTCGTGGGCACCGAACACTAGTAATAGGTCGCACTCAGCACAGCACCAAATCTTCTCACCACTAGGTTGCAATGACAGATTGAAGAAGGTGGCCAATGGCAATGATCATGGAAAATCTCAAGCCAGCTGTTATCCAAGGAGAGCTGCTGAACTGAGGTGAGGTTGCAATCAAGAATTCTCTTTTTAATCCTACTCACTTCCCCCAAGCTCACACACTCTTCTTCTACAGCTCATGTATAGCCCTTCACTTGGAGAAGGGACTTACAGGTACAGAGAGAACTGACATTTGCAGTAGATATTTATACTAATAATAGCCTAGGTGGTTGTCATGCCCTCATGCATCACAAGATGGCTGCCACAAGATGGCCACACCCACAGTGGAGGTGGGGCCCAGTGGAGGAGGTGGGTTGAGGCAGGGGAGAGTAGTTTTGAGAGATCAGGCCAGCAGGGAGGGTATTTGGGGGCAAGATCAGGCCAGCAGGGCGGGCAGTTAAGAGCAATCAGGCAGGCAGAGGCTGTTCAGGGCAATTAGGCAGGCAGAGAGGATAGGAATGATCAGGTAGGCAGGCAGAGAGGTTAGGGGCAAGCAGGAAGAGGGGTTAGGGGTGAACAGACAGGTGAGCAATTAGGAGGTAGCAGGCAGGTGAGCAATTAGATGCCTGACCCAGATTACAGTCAGACATCCCCTAAGGCCATGTTTCTCAACCTTTCTAATGCCTCAACCCTTTAATACAGTTCCTCATGTTGTGGTGACCCCCAACCATAAAATTATTTTCCGATGGC